GGTTTCTGGCACAAACCGATCGTTTCGTGTCTTTACACATCAATGTATCGTCACGAGCCGCAGGGTTTAATTTGGATTTGTCTGTGCATGTTTTTTTTACTCTCATAGATTTTGTTACCATTGCCATGCATTATACGACTGATAGACTGCAACAGTTTGTGTTAAAAATCATCATATATGTTCTACTGAAGAAACAAAGTCACCTACATCTTGGATGCCCTGGGGGTAAGCAGATAAACATCAAATTTTCATTTTTGGGTGAACTATCCCTTTAACTTTTATAAAGAATATCTCTTTGGGTTTGAGACTTTAGTCTTTGTAACTTTAGGGATCTTATCTATTCACGAACAGCTTGTAACACTCCAAAGAGAAAGGAAAACTTGAAATTGCATCATATGACCCCTTTAAGACTAGTCTAAGCAGTTTATGCAACCCGCCACTGGGCACCATCATCTCTCAGGACCTGATGTGAGAGAATCACATTGACTCCATTGTTAAAAAGGCCCAACAGAGATTGTACTTCCTTCGCCAGCTGAGGAAGTTCAACCTGCCACAGGAGCTGCTCACACAGTTCTACTCAGCCATCATTGAGTCTGTTCTGTGCACTTCAATAATGGTCTGGTTTGGCTCAGCTACAAAATCAGACATTAGAAGACTACAGAGGACAGTTCGGACTGCTGAAAGGATTATTGGTGCTCCCCTGCCCACCCTTCAAGACCTGTAAATATCCAGAGTGAGGAAATGGGCTTAGAAAATCACTCTGGATCCCTCACATCCAAGCTATCTCCTTTTTGAACTTTTACTGTCTGGTCAACGCTACAGAGCACCGAACACCAGGACAGCCAGGCACAAGAAAAGTTTCTTTCCCCAGGAAATCTACCTCATGAACAGTTAAATGTTCTCCCCTACTGTTCAATAAAAAGATGTGCAATACCTATTTAATTTACTTAATACTATCCTATCTTATTCCATTCCTTTTAAATTCTATTCTATTCCATCTATATACCACTACTGTTCAGTACATACAAAGTTTGTCTATTTCTGTGTGTGTGTGTGTGTGTGTGTGTGTGTGTGTTATTCACGTCTTTATTTCTTATTATCTGTGTTTTGTTGTTGTTGTCTCTGTGTACTGGAAGCTTCTGTCACCAGAACAAATTCCTTGTATGTGCAAACATACTTGGCAATAAAGCTCTTTCTGATTCTGATTCTGAGAAGAGAAGGGTGTTAATCACTCAACTTGCACAGATCGCCTCACATATATTTGTGATAACATACATAGATGAGTAATAAGAATGCATATTTTTCATTATTTTGAATAGATGTCATTATTTGGGTTTAATGTTCACAATATAATTATTTTGTTTAGGTTACTTCCATGTTATGTTTCCAACTTCGGTCTGTGACTTCAGTGCGGTTTCTCAGGTGCACATGAGGCAACAACAACAACTAAAAACATTTTAGCATAAAACTGTTCTTCAGAAGGATACGGTTCTAAATAGAACTAGTAAAGAACCTCTACAGAACCATCTTGTTTTAGAGTGTACGACTGGTTGAACAAGGCAAATTGATTGTGTGGCTTACAAAACAAAATAACATTTATCTCTGTTAAACAATCACTTTGTCTCAGGCAATTACTCTGAAAATAATCAGAGGAACATCAATTTAGCATAATTTTACCAAGGCAAGAGAGCTGAAGAGGGAAAGACTCCTAAGTGAGTTGTAAAGTGCACATGCAGGCTGAAGCAGTTTTCCCTCTCATGAGAACTGTACACGATACATATGATAGAGATGTAAAGAACTCTAAAACCTTTTCCGTTTTGCAAAATGTCCAACATAATTTCCATGACAGAATTTTGGCACATAACAATGTATCTACAGTAACTAACAAAACCAGTTCAGCAGCTGAGATCAACTTTCACATACTTCACTTGTTATTAGACAGATGAAAATAGAGCAGGAAACCCACAAATTGTGTTAAAACGCAACCCACTTGATCAAAGCCCAATTACCAAAGAAAACTGTCAGCAAACTGAGCAAAATTATAAAAAAAAGAGACACATTGTGAGTGTCAGTCCACTGCAGTGTCTTATGGTACAGAAACTCCATGAGCTTGATTCTGGGAATTGGAGTGAAGCAAAGTTCATTCTAAAGTTGAAAGATTATTTGTCTCATGCTTAACGGAGTGGTAGTGAACAAGCTTCATTTATTTGCATTGCAGGCAGTAGGACAGGCATGACATTAAATGCACAAATAATGTGACTATGCACAAGATATGAAAAATGATATTATGAACTATACTGAAATTGTATTTTACATTGAAAACACTTACATTTAAAATGTTTTAGGGTTTTGTTGCCCTTAAAGGCGTATAAAAATGTTGTCATTGTTTACTCACCCTCATGTTGTAACAAACCTGTTTGACTTTTTTTCTTCTGCAGAACAAAACAGAAGATATTCTGATGAAACTGTTTTGGTGACCACTGACTTAAATTGTATGGGAAAAAAACAAACAAACACACACAGACACAATAAACATGACATTTCTCTAAATATCTTTTATGTTCCACAGAAGAAAGAAAGTCATTTGGGTTTGAAATTTCATGCAAGTAGGTAAAACAATGACATATTTTTCTTTTTTGGTGAAGTATTTTTTAAGGTCATCGAGTGCACATGTACCTGAAAGGGTTTTAAGTCTTTTCATGCTGCTGTCTTTTCATGTTTACCGCCAGCATGCTATGTTGTACTATTCAGGGAACAATCAGTAAATGCATACACATCTCGAAATGAGGAAGCAGTTACGTTTTTCTTGGCAAACAACTGACGTTATACAACCTTGACAGTCATCTTGTAGTAAAAATAAATGATAATTCACTGTGTTCTTCTTTTAACTGTTTGAAGTATTTCATTTGATAAATTGGTGTTTGCACTTATATTTGTAGAACACAGTGAATTTCTTCTGGTTTAGTTCTCATGGGGTGTGAGTGTAGCTTATGACCTCAGAGAGGCTATTCTAAGAACAAGTGTTCTGTTATCCAGCAAACCACATAAACTGGCACGAACCACAGAGTACAGTGCAAAAAGAATAAGGCACTTAGGTTTAATGGCCAACCGCTTCTCATTTTCAAAGAAATGTGATGAGAAAAAAACTAAACAAAATGAAATCATCATCAGACTAATCAATTTTTTAATAGCATTTTCTAAACATGAAAACATCCTCCATTTCTTCCACACTCAAGAAGCAATATTGCCAGTATTCTACAACATTATTAAGCTCAAATGATGATGTGATTCAATTTTGTGTGGCCTATCGAGTCCACACACCTCTTAACATGAAAACATTTGGATTTTAAATAGTCTACATTAACCACTTGTAATCTCAATCTACATGACATGTCATACATGAGATTGATGCTTTTATTCAGCAATGATGCATTAAATTGATCAAAAGTGACAGTAAAGACATTCATAATGTTACAAAAGATTTCTGTTTCATATACATGCTGTTCGTTTGAGTTTTCTCTTCATCAAAAAAAAATCACATTTTCCACAAAAATATTAAGCAGCACAACTGTTTTCAACATTGATAAAAAGAAATGTTTCTTGAGCACCAAATCAGCATATTAGAATGATTTCTGAAGGATCATGTGACACTGAAGACTGGAGTAATGGCTGCTTGAATTACATTTTAAAATATAGTAAAACTTAGTTATTTTAAATGTAATAATAGTTCACAATATTACTGTGTTTTTTGATTAAATAAATGCAGCACTGATGAGCATAAGATACTTTTTTGGAAAAAAAAACAAAAACCTTACCAACCCCAAAGTTTTGAACGGTAGTCCATATAATGCGCCAGGTAAACACAAATAAAATAACATATGGTATATGTGTCAATGGGTTATTCCTGCAGTTATAATAATAATAACGCCATGTCAATCATGTTACAATTACAGTTACAATGAGAGTTATATTTTATCTTGCAAAGTGTGCAGCCCCCAAATAACACTGAAGCTTTCAGCATTTATGTGAAAATTATTTTGTGTAAATAGTTGTTATTGAATCAAAAGAAAGTAATTTAAGTCACTGTTATAGTGATTCGTGTTCTTTTAGGTAGATCCTGCTTAGGTAGACCCTTAGCGTAATTCTCTACCAATGCAAATATATATCATATAAATGGATTATTGCATAAAGGCTGGAATGCACTACACGGATTTTGCCCCCGATTTACAGTTTGGATAAGTCAACACTAGTTGCCAAAAGTCAGAGCCAGTCTGCGGATTTGAGCTGACAGATTCCACAGAAAATCGTGTAGTGTATGATGGTCACAGACTCTATTTTTTTAGCTACAGACTATGAATGCATCCAGTCAGAGGATATCAAACATGTTTGATATTTTGAGCCAGTTTCAGAACACATATTTTTTTCATTTGCCACGCGTCTCCTATCAACAAGGCACACGTTTCTGCGTGAGTGTGTTGTGATCGGAACAACTTGAAAGTCTGGTAGTGTATGATCCTCAGTCGTGACCAGTTTTCCTTTGTGACTCTTTACAAAGTCAGTAAGTGTATGATGCCTAATGTTTTCAAATCTGTTCAGACATTAAAAGTCGTGTAGTGTATTCCAGCCTTAAAGAAAAACTAAAATGAAAAGATTAATCTGATTCAGGTCAACTATATCCTATACTATGTTTTAAGAAAATAAAATGTAAATGAATATGTAAAAAACAACACTATTTTACAAATCGAAAAGTTAACTCTGCTTAACTGATCAAATGTATCATTCACCAAAAAATGAAAATTCTGACATCATTTACTCACCCTCATGTCGTTCCAAACATGTATGACATTCTTTCTTTTGTAGAACATAAAAGATTTTTTTGCAGAATGTCTGAGTGTTTTTTTGTTTGTTTGTTTTGTTTTTGGTCTATATAATGGAAAGTCACACACCACAAGTGGTGTGAGTAAATGACAGAATTTTAATTTTTTTAGTGTACGATCTCTTTAACTGTACTGAAATGGCTCATGAGGTGGTCTTGATTTTACGTGTTTCGTGTTAGAAAGGATTATTGCTTAATTACTCAGATTGACTCACTAATTCATTACTCAATCGCTGTTATTTTTAATTTTAATTTTTTGTTTGTTTGTTTTTCTTTTTAATGGAACAATAACTTTTCTATTTTGCACTTTTGGCATGGGATAAAAACACATTTACACATCACCATTATGTATTTTTATGCATTCATATCAACACGCAGTGACACCTACATTATACATTTTGCATTGACAAATTAAAAGGATGATGAGAACATCTGCTTTTGACCATGTATGATCATGTCTATTTTTCTGATATGTAAAATGTCTGGCCTAAATATGTTTTACAAGTTCCAATTTAGCGTAGTTACATCTTACATCTCATCATATAGTATTTTATTAAAAATTCACGTATGACAGAAAGGCTGATTATAGGCCCACACGGGGCAACTTTTTGAGCAATGTTGAAATTTGTTACCCATCCTCAATGGGAACGTGCCCAAACAACATTGCTAAAAAAACGTTGCCCGGCAAAATTGCTCAAAAAGTTGCCCTGTGCATCATCAGCCTTTTAGAGAATAATGCAAACTAGTAGCAACTTGACCTTCTAGTTCTGTAACAAATAGGCCTAACCAAAACTGAACCAGTGGCATTCACCCTCCAGCGGTCAGTCTTCATACCGCACATCAGCTTTGAGTTGGTTTTTAGTAAAATTAAGTACAGCACCCAGCACCTGCTCATGTAGAGAGGCATTCCCATTAACTTGAGCAATCAGCTGCGCAACCTCAGTCCATTTCAGTGTACCCACTATGGCCATGACATCGGAGTACAGTTTCTCTTGCTGTGTATGACTCATTTCCATGAGGATCTCAGGAAGAGGTTTGAATTGGCCGCTGGTCATCCATCCGCCCAGCGCACCTCCCACAACAGCACCTTGAGTGATATAAATGAATAAAATAATACTATAGCAACATCTTGTGGTTAAGAAGTGAACTAGACGGACTGAAAGAAAAAAAATTGCGGATAAAAGTAACACATAGCCTACCAACAGCTATACCGGCAGGACCACCGACCAGCCCTCCAACAAAAGCAGTTCCTCCTGTAACTACGGCTCCTTTCGCTGAGTTTTTAAATGCTGCTTTTATCCTCTTATTTGTGGAGATTTCACAGCAGAGTTTCATTATGTCATCTTTTCGATTTGCCATTTTGACGTGTTGCTAAACGATAAACGATTGTCACACATGATATAAAAGAAAACAAAGAAAAAAAATCAGCCAATAAAACAAACATTTCTTCAATAATTTCGCGTTTTCTAAGGTAGCCTATTGCTACTTTCATTGTTTGAGAAAATAATGACGCGCTGTATAGGCTAAATCCTACAAATAAATAGGCCTATTTGACATTTTCAGAGTTCTTACCTGATTGTCTTCGAACTTGAGCAGGGTTTTAACAAGTTACAAGTTACTTTCGGTATCATATTCATGAGCTTGATGTATTTGACGTGCACTTCCGTGCTCAGATGTGTTCATAGGCGACTTTTAAGCAGTTGAACTTCGTTGACTGCATTTAATCGGCGAAGACTTATAAGACATGTTTAATAAACTATTATCCGAAATAAAATTCACCTGGCATGTAGCTGGGGTTTTGAAAAACGAAACAATTAAAATCATGCAACATGTCATTTGACATTTTTTTATAAATGATATTGACTTCATTGTTTAAAAAATATCAATTAAGCAATCATTTTTAACTTTTTAAAATTAGAAATAAAAGTTTATTGGTTTAAACTGCACCACAAGAATTTTTAACCGAAAACCACCACAAAACAAGCCACATATTATCCTGCTTTATTAGAATAACCTAATCTGCATTATGCACAGAAATAGCTAATTGTCTTCATAAGGTTACAATGTTATTGCTTAAAAAGAAGAAGAAGATGATGATGATGATGATGATGAAGAAGAGGAGTCTGCACAGGAGCTGCAGAGAATCAGAAATACGAGTACAAAAGCAAGGGGATGCTGGATTGAGAACCACTGGCTGGTGACGGTGACATCAACCCTGGTCGCCGTGATTTTGCCAAGTAAGACATGTTCCTGGTTCAACATCTTTTGTTGATCCTGGATCAACATAACTGTCCAAAAATACAGACTTAACCTCTTAAGACCCGAGAAAAGATTTTTAGGAAAAAAATAGTTTTTTCAGGTCTTTACATTGTTTAGAGCATTAAAGAACAATTAAAAATGATATTTCATTCATAAGCTATGCTATGTCTTCGGTAGAGGACATCGGGACTCAATAAAAAAAAAAGAAGAAAAAAAAAGACATGAATGAACATGCATAGGCAAAAAACAATAGATTTTTAAAATCACCAATACATTTTTAGTTTTCAGGATTTTTTTTTTTTTTGCCAAACTTTATATAAAGATGATTCTCAACTAACAGAATGATTTGATATACCATTTTTCTTCATGCAAAATGTGTGTAAAATGGCCATAAACGGGTTTTCTCATTATATACAATGTATCTATAAACTAAATCTAATTTGCA